AAGGAGGGAGTTGGATGGGGGGAGATGAGGAGGAGGAGGAGGGGGGGGAAAGCATCCTCAAAAACGACCCCCCCACTTCCAAAGAAAGCAAATCTGCCCAAGGCAGCTCCCCTAGGTGGTCGCACGCTCCTGCCAAACGTGGCCGAATTAATATATTCCAGGGGAAAGAGGGCAGAAACCAAAGCCTTTCTTTCTTTCTTTCTTTCTTTCTTTCTTTCTTTCTTTCTTTCTTTCTTTCTTTCTTTCTTTCTTTCTTTCTTTCTTTCTTTCCTTCTTTCTTTCTTTCCTTCTCTCTCTCTCTCTCTCTCCCCCACTCCCTTCTTTTCTCTCTCCCCCTGCAATCTCCCCCTCCGCAAATATCCCAAAATTGGAGCTTCTTTCTTCAAACTCCTTTTGAAACGAGCCCCTATGACCCAGGCGAGCTGACCTCTCTCCCCAGTCTTGGCCACCTTCTGCAAGCCTTTCGACAGGTTTTCTCTTCCGAAGGGAAACCCTTTGGTTTCAGGAGGGCTTACTCCCAGGGAAGCGTGGAGCCCTATAGGATCGGAGCCTCGTTTAAAGGGGCTTGACTTGCAAGTAAAATATTGGGCTAGAGATAAGAGGTCTTGCTTTGGGATTTGTAGATGGGTCAGCTCTGGGAAGGGCCTGCCTTTCCAAACTGTAGCCGGAGATCTAGACTTGCAGGAGTAGTTGCAATAGTGCGGATGATGGTGGGGATGGTTAGGAGTAATTAATCCGTATTAATGGACTGGACTAGGAATGTTACAACTAGATTTTGTTGTTGCTGCTGTGTACTTTCAGGTCGTTTCTGACTTATGGAGACCCTAAGGCCAATCTATCATGGGGTTTCTTGGCAAGTTTGGTTCAAAGGAGGTTTCCCATTTCCCTCCCCTGAGGCTGAGAGCATGTGACTTGCCCAAGGTCACCCAGTGGGTTTCATGGCTGAGCTGGGAATCCAACCCTGGTCTCCAGAGTCGTAGTCCAACACTCAAACCACTACGCCACTATACTACTCCCATTATATAGAAACAGACCCATTGAAACTGATGAGGCTTCTTAGAAGCTCTATTAAAACATCATCTGTGTTTTAAAAATAATAATCTATCAACAGGGCTAATGGTCAACTTTTGCATTTCCAAAACAAAGGAGAAAGAGAAATGAGGGGGAATTAGAGGAAAATGTGGATCCTAATCCAGAACTCTTTTCTTCCTTCCTTCTTTCCGTAACAAGGCAGTTCAGAAATCCTTTATTTCCCTTGCTTTCTCCTCGTTAAATGGCTATCCTTGTCCAAGCAAATCTTTTAATTTAAAGAGACAAAAATCTATTAATAATAAGCATTATTATTATTATTATTATTATTATTATTATTATTATTATTATTATTATTATTATTCCCATATCCCAAAGTCCTGGAGTATTTGCTCCAAACTATCCGACTGGTTTTATACTGTTAAAATAACTTAAATAAATGTGTGTGTGTGTGTGTGTGTGTGGAGGGGAGACCACTGGACAGTTAATACCAGTGCAATAAATTGTAAAATGTCCAAAGGAGTAGCCACATAAGTCTGCTTTTTTGCAGCAAAACCCAACAATGAGTCTTGCGGCAACTCAAAGGCTAACACATTTCTTGTAGCACGACCTTTTGTGGTCTTATAGGCCACAAAACCTCGGGTTATAATAAATGTGTTAATCTTCCAGATATCACTGGATTCCCTTTTCTGTGTCTGAAATCAACTGACATGGGTTTGTTCATTTGGGAAAAGGAACCCAGGGAGTGAATGTAGGAAAGTTTTACCTACAACAAAAAGAGAATCCACCATTTTTCTGGTGGACTTTGCTGGAGGGAAATAAAATAAAATAAAATAAAAAGCATATGTCCATCTTAATATTAAACTGCTTCTACGTACATGTGATGGAGTCTATTGTTCAAAAATAATTTTAAACATACTTTTCCAACAAGCTAAATAGGTTTATTTATGTGTGAGGGGAAAACCAACGGCACCTTTTGGGTTGCCAAAAAAGAAAGAGGTCAACTCGGAAAAAAAAAAATCCCAGTGGATTACAAGGTTATGAGACAGGTCACTTTTGCAAGCTCGCGACAAAAGGGGTATGGATGGAGAAATCGGCCTGCCTGGCTGGTTTTGCAAAGGCATAGAGCTTGGAAAGTTAATACATCCACACCCACTCAGGGAGGGCATGCTGGCTGGGGGATTCTGGGAGCTGTTGTCGGAAAACAAGTAACTTTTCCTATCCCTGCAAAATAGGAAGGAAATTCACTCAAGTGTCCCTATGCCATTGTTTTCCACGCGGTTTGCTCACAAGACAAAGTGCACCAGTCAGGAGACAACTCAGGTCTTGCTGGTGCTTTTCCTTTGGGCAACTGCTTGTCTACCGGTCCAAAACACACTGCAGAAATAATCCAGTTTGAGACCGCTTTAATTGCCCTGGCTCAATGCTAGGGAATCTTGGGTATTGTAGTTTATTGTGGTACCAGAGCTCTCTGACAGAGAAGGCTCAATGCCTTACAAAAACTACAGTTCCTAGAATTCCCTAGCATTGAACCAGGGCAGTTAAAGGGGTCTCAAACTGGATTATTTCTGCAGTGTGTCAGGTGAACAGAATGGTGAACTGGAGTCTTTGGTCTGATCCTGTAGGACTTTTTTTAGTTTATGCTTTTATCTTAATCTATGTTTGGAACTAACTGGAAGCCTCAAATTGCTGAGGACTGAAAAGGGGATTTAAAAAAAGCAAATCCTTTAAGGTTTAAATAAAGCAAATCCTTTAAGGTTTATGAATGGAGTCTAATAGTAGACTGAACTTGGCAGTTTATTTAGGATTCTGGGTGGATTCTGCCATGGGAACCCAGAGGTCCACCTCAACAACAACAATCACAACATTTTGTTGTTGTCGTCGTGGTCGTTGTTGTTGCCTCCAAGTTGTTTCTGACTTATGGCGACCCTATCATGGGGTTTTCTTGGCAAATCTCTTCAGAGGGGCTTTGCCATTGCCACCCTCTGAGGCTGAGAGAATGGGTTTCCATGGCCGAGATGGAATTCGAACCCTGGTCTCCAGAATCCTAGTCAAACACTATGCTGGCTCTAGCAAAACGTTATACCAACTTTATTTAGAAATCTTACAAAAAGCAAGGGAACAACAAAAGGGTATGCCAACTCCCTAATAAGGAACAAACAATTCAGTATATCCAAGCCAGGTAAGCCACCCTTGTTCTTTGCATCCTCTTCTGGTGTTCTGACTGTCATCTTATCAACAGAACACGACACGATTTTTTGGAACATGGCTCAGAAAGTTTTGTACATGTTCAACGTAAATTAACATCACGAGGAGCTGACCACAGTTTCTGTGTTTGAACAAACTGTTTTCCTTAACATAGCCAGGTCTCATTTAGGCCTTTTTGTCCCTTTGTGACATTTCCCCTTCAGGATCCACTGGATTTACTTGCAAGGGAAAGTGTCCAAGGGGATCAAGACCTTCATAACTTTTTCTTTTCTTTTTATCGTATCTAAAGCCATCGTAGGTATAGCCAGCCAATGTGATCATCTCCTAGTGATTTCAAGTTGGTCATGTACAAAATGTAGGGGATTTTG